AACTCAGCCCCATATGGAGGGAAATAGTTACGATAACCTATTAAGTCAAGAAAATATGATTGCTACGTGTTGCTTATCCATCAGTAACATTGCTTTGAGATATTCTGGCTCTTTCTTTGTCGATTTAGCTAAAAATTTTTGAGCAACGGAAAAAATGTTAACATTTTGAAATAACTCGAATCTCTAATTTCTCTTGCCATTTCTTTTAACTTCGTTCAAACAAACGGTCTTATATGATTTGTCTTAGAGCATTTTTCCCTAACGGTCTCTTACCCGCTCGAAGCGAACATTACGAAGGCTCTTTCATTTGTTCGCCTCTTAAAACGGATGCATGTCTTTCTTGACCATTCTCTCATTCCTGCATAAATAGGAGACGTACTTCCAGCTGTATTTAAAAAAAAGCACAGACTAATTAGTTTCGATCTCATGTACCAAGCGGGCTTTATTTCCCTCTGTTTGCCTCCAGAGTTCAAATCGTGGATATGACGCAGCAAAATTCATTTCGAGTGAATAGGTATGTTTTTTTTGGAAGATCTTGTTTGAATTGTGATACAGGTGAAGCAGATTACAGCGGTGACTATTTAACTAATGCCAAAGAGTTCCGAACTCTTAGTTGAAATAAAAAAAGGGTAAGTCTGCACTCGACCCAAGTTTCCTATCCACGTGGAGCCGTTCCCGTTTTTTTTGTTACGAAGCCGCTAGCAGTGCTACAATTTCCTCTGAAGAGGATACCGGTCCGTCACCCTAAAGTCCAGCTTGATGACTGTAACTTTGTTTTCCTTTTTTAGTTATGTGTAACATACATCTCACTTCGAACTTCACAGAAACTTGATCAAATCTCTTTGAGTAAACATACAGTTTAAAAAGGGAAATGAAAAACAAAAACGTCGCTCTCCAGCTAATTATTTGACATCATAGCTACTGTAGTACAGCAGATTCGGTATTTATCTTTACTGTATGAGAAAACTACGATGCACTATTACAATGTTTAGAGAGTTTTAACGATGAAATATTTTATTCACCCTTACCAAGGCTTCTAGAGATGACATAAGGAACCACTCCTGACGGCCACAGTCTGCTTCTGATCGCACCTCTTTTGCGAGAGCTATCAACATCCATTCCGTGCTCGGCTTTATAGAAGACATCGGGAGGGACAATCATATCTCCCTCGAACAAATCCTTATCATCCACTTCCAAGTTTTCTATTGTTCAAAATAAAATACAGTTGATTAATTAGTTGTTTTTTTTTTATTACTAATTTATTCAATAGATCATGTATCACTCATGGTATCAACCAATGAATTATGCAGTAAGTCCTCCAATGAAACAAATCAAACGTTACTCCTTTGATCAGTAGCGCGAAAAAAAAAATTATGAAGCTTTGTTTACTTCCGTTCTCTTTGACTCTACTAATAATTAGTCACAGGAACAGAGGCCTGCATTCAACCTTTTTGGGATAGGTACGTTTCAATAGAAAACTAGCGACTTGAAAATGACTGCTTCGCTTATAATAATGCGCAAAAAGAATTCCTTGTGAGGCGAATTGAAATTTCTAGTTATTAACGGTAAAATCAGGTGGACTTCGTATTATGGAAATTTTCAAAAAATGTTTTATTCTGTAACGATCGAACTCTTAGAATTTCTTAACGCGGTGAATCCATGGGTTTTTTTTCGCGGTACCAATTTAATTGCTTAAGAACTGTGACCAGCAAGAGAAATCAATAATCAGAAAAACAGGGACTAACTGAAAAGTTCAAAAAGCGAAAACAATTCAAAAGTATGGGCCTGAGCTTCGAGAACCATGATCTACTTTGGCATTATTACAAGGAATTATCGAGCAATCTCACCATCAGGATTTTCAGATGCAACCAAGCCTGCTGTCACCAACAGAAGGAAGCAGAGGTACTCCATGCTTCTTTGTCTTGTTAATGAATTCTTATACTTAGTCAGCTTAAGTTTTCTTGCCAGTGAAAACTTCT